TATTAAATCTGATTCCAGTTTCTCCCTCAAACTGCAGGGTGAATTCTATCTTTTAGTGGTCACTACCCCCTTAAGCTCCCTAATCAAGTCTGCCTCATTATACATCAGCAAATCCAAAATTATCTGTTCCCTAATAGGCTCTACCACAATCTGCTCCAAAAAAACTATCTTGTAGATATTCCATGATGTACCTTTCTTGAGATGCACTACCAATCTGATTTTCCCAGTCCATCTACATGCTGAAGTCCTTCATGATTATTGTAATAGTGCCTTTCTTACATGCCTTTTCTATCTTCTGATTTATTTTCTGCACCACATGCTGACTACTGCTAGGAGGTCTGTATACAATATCCATCAGGGTCTTCCCGCCTTTGAGGTGCTTCAACTCTACCCACACAGAATCTACGCATTCTGATTCTGACTTCTTGCTGTTGATTTTATTTTATTTCTTGCTAACACGATAATACTGCCCTCTTTGGCAATTCTCTCAATAGGTTGTGTATCCTTAGATGTTTAGTTTCCAGCCCTCAGTCCCATCTCAGTGGTACCCATAACATAGAATCCCGAGAATGCAGATAGAAGCCATTTGGCCCATTAAGTCTACACCAACCCTCCTAGGAGCATCCCATCCAGATTCACCCTGTTCTGTAACTCTGCATTTACCATGACTAATCCACCTAGCCTGCCCATCCCTGGACAATACTAGGCAATTTAGCACTGCCAATCTACCTAATTTACATATATTTGCACTATGGGAGTAAACCAGAGCTCCCAGCTGAAACCCACCAGACAGTGGAAGAACATACAAACTCCATAGACTGACACCCAAGGTTGCAATTGAACCCACTGTGAGGCAACGATGCTAACCATTGTGCTACCATTCCAGCCACAAACAACATACCTGTCAATTTCAATTCAAGGTGCAAGCTCATTCGTCTTGTTTAGTACACTGCATGCATTTAAATACTACATCCTGCATTGACTGTGTCTCTTTTCATAGTTGTCTCCTTGCTTGCTGTGCTGAAGTTAGATTTCTGAGCCTTTGCATACTCTTGGTCCTATTATCTATTCTGGAAACTTTAATAACCTCTGTTGAGATCTCTCGTCTTCAAATTTTTCCATGCAACCAAACACCTCACCCCACACCCAGTATGTAGTTTAAAGCCCTATCAACAGCCCTGGTTATGTGATTCACCAGGACTCTGGTCCCAGTGTGATTCAGGTTGAGTCTGTGATCAGAACTCCTTCCCCTGTACTGGTCCTAATGTCCCATGAATTCAACCCTGTTTCTCTCACATCAATCTTTGAGGTACGTATTTACCTCTTCAATCTTGTTGAGCCTCTGTCAATTTGTTCGTGGCTTAGGTAGTAATCCAGAATTTGTAACCTGTTTTGGTCTTGCTTTTTAATTTAGCCCCTAGCAGCTCCTATTTCCTCAGCACAATCTCGTTTCTTGTTCTATCTATATTGTTGGTACCTACATGGACCAAGATAACTGGATCCTTCCCTTCCCACTCCAAGTTTTTCTGTAGCCCAGGTGAGATATCCTGAACCCTGGCACCAGATAAGAAACATAGCATTTGGGACTCTTAATTCTGGCCACAGAGAAGGGTGTCGATTCACCTCATAAAAGTGTCCCCCATGACAAGTACATTTCTCTTTTCTGCCCCCTTTTGAATTGTACAACAGTGCCATGCTTATCATTCCTAAGGCCCCCACTCTCATCCACACAGGGAGCAAGAATCTAAAACAATTTGTCCAGCTCAGGGGCTGAGGCTCCATTATCACTATCTCCTGGATCCCTCTGTAGGAGCAAATTTCTGCAGATGCTGGAATCTGTCCTAAAAACAAAAAATGCCAAAGATCACAGCAGATCAGGCAGCATCCACGCAGAGGAAGCAAACTCACGTTTCGATTGAAGAGTCATCTCAACTCGAAACGTTAGCTTGCTTTCTCCCATGGATGTTCCCTGACCACTGTGATCTCTGGCATTTTTTGTTTTCACTCCTGGACCCTCTTTGCTGCTCATAGTCACACCTTCTGACTCTGACTGAATTTCAGATAATTAATCTAAAGGATGTGACTGCCTCCTGAAAGACAGCGTCCAGGTAAATCACCCCTTCCTGATGTGTCATAGTGTTCGAAGCTCAGACTCTAGCTCATCAACTCTAAGCCGAGTTCCTCAAGCAACCAATACTTGCTACAAATGTGGTCACTATGAACACAATGGGATCCATCAGCTCCCACACCATGCAGTTACAACACATCACCTGGCCCAACATTTCTATTTAAATACTTAGTTCTTAATTTGACTTTTTAAAAATTTGTACTGGTCTTTTAGTTTGTAGCCTGTAAACTATTTTTCACTATTTATATTTGCAAGTAACTAATTAATAGGTTGTCATATTAGTGGCTATCACCAACCAATTAACTTACAGTTTACCTGTGATATCTCTCTTTTGTGCTTAACCCCAGATCCCAGGCTTCAATTTATTCTGTTTTAAAAAATACAACTGACAAACTATGAGTCCAAAAGAAAGCAAGCAAAAAACCACGTCTTCTTATCTGCTGATATTTTTACAGGTCTTGGATGTCTTTCTTGTGAATATTGTCTTGAAGTGCATGAGAGTGTAAGACCTACTCAGCATGTGCTGAAGAAAGTTCTAGATGCCTCAAGTCTAACCTGAAAGACAAGGTGGAAGAGTTAGAAAAGAAGGGAGTAATCAAGTATACACCAAGCGAAAAGTGGAATGAAGAAAACTAAGAAAGGAACTGAACCTTTGTTCATATCCAGCACCCTGGTCTTTAATCTTTCCATGAGTATCACTTAATCTCACCCCCATCTCATTAATGATGTTCCTAAACTCTAGGAAACCTATACAGGTGGCATTAGTTTTGAATTTTAAATTGGATTTTATGAAAGAACAATGACTTACATTCTAATTGTAATTACCAATTTACTTTTCTAAATTACTTGGACACATCATTGTTTGCTGCTTTCAAATCTATGATCTGCATGAAAACTTTGTACCATGCCAGCTTTAAGCTTCATACCATCATAAGGACAATCGAGACACTGGAACAAGTGCAATTTCTATATGTAATGAGGAAGTAAAAAATGAAAAATTTGCAAAACCTTTTTTTTCATGAGAACTGAGCAGATTATTTGCTATTTCTCCTAATTTAGTATTTTCCATAAGTTTGGATGGTATATCTTCTGATCCAAAAAGTTTGACAGGATCGATGCTGAGGGAATATTTCCCTCATGGGAGAAGTTAGAACTAGGGATCATTGTTTTTCAAAAGTTGTCTCCTATTTAAGATGACTATAAGAAGCAATTCCTTTTCTCAGGAATTACTGTTCTTTGGAATTTTAATCTCCAGCAAGAAGTAGAGGCTGGATCATCGAATACATTCTGGGCTGAATTACCAATTTAATGGTTAAAAAAAGTTTCCATGATCATCACAAGGCAACCAAATGATATTAATGCACCGATTCTTGAAATTCCATACTTCAGACTGGCATTTGTTAAACCTTATTTATGCAAATTTTGTCTGACATCAAATCTGAATATTGTCATGAAATGACACAGTTTATCAATCAATTAAACTATAATTTGAAAAAGAGCAATTTTTTTTTTAAAGAAATACAGTGGATTGAAACTTAAATTTAGTGGTCATATTGAGTTTTTTGAGGCTTTTCACTGGAAGGTCCAGTAAGTTTTCTTGCTCTATCAACTTCACCACATTAATTACCTACCCCACAATACCACGTCACAATACTGAGAAAAGCATGATCTTTTATTTCAGAAAGGAAAAGGGAAGAGAAATAAGGTCAACAGAGGCTGAACATCAACTCACATAGTCAACTACATTTTGGTATCATGCCTACAGATTGTTCCAATAAATGATTTTCTGTTGTGTCCAGCTGTCTTCTATTGAAACCAGGTGAGGTTCTGCCTGGTTTGTAGAGCCCTTTGCAGCTGAACCATTTCCTGGAAAATTACAGCTTCTTCCACCCCGAAGTCCTCATCCTCCTCTTTGGAAGAATGTTCCCATGCCCCACGTTCTTCAACATACAGGAAATTGCGTTGTTCCCTGGAGCACAGAATACCAGGATGACACTCAATACCAGGATACTCTGCCTGTACTATGATGAAGGGACCCTCCCAGATTGATGCAAGCAGCAGGAACAGGCATGGAGAATGTGATCAGCCATGCCCACAGTAGCCTTGTTCCCAGCAGTTGGCCTTGCAAGGCCCTGGACCCTTAAATGCTCCAGGTGCTCCAAGATGAAATTGTCTCAGTAGCTGCCACGTCACAGGCCTATCTCTCCAGGAATTGGAAACTGTGATCAACTGGAAACAGCCTGAACATTATTTGAATAGAAACCCTTTCTGTTGAAGAATTCCGTAGCAATCTGATATGACCTTCTCAGTGCCAGGTGTGTACAGCAGATAGCACCCCTTGCTGCCCCTACAGATACTCCCGAACCTTCCTTACACTGGCTCTACAGAACTGACCACAAAAATCTCCCCAAATGGTAAAGTGACAAATCCTTTGACCATGAACATCTGAATTAGACAAGATCACGTGAAGACCCTGGACTGTATCCCTGACAGTGCTGGGACCCCCTGACTGGCAGCAGCCCTCTTTGATCAGATTGAAACTATCACTTAACAATTTCCAATATGGCTGTTTAATTAATGTGCAATGGTTTTGCCACGCAGACAGCTAGCAAATACTGTAGGCATTAGATTGCTGTCTCTGTCTGTTCATTAAAATGGATTCCTTCTCACAGGATGTGTATTAATGCAACTGTCAATAATTTGAGTTTTGTGAACTAATCTGGGTGATGAATAAAGTTTGTGTAAGTTATCTTTCACTTATATTTGCGTAACAAATTTTATCTCTTTACACACCATGCAGTCTTTCTTTGATTGGTTGGGCAGATAGGAGAGCCGCTTTAAAAGGGAAACAAGGAATTTGTTGATACGGCAGTAAAAACAAGAGAATTCAGCATAGGACTGGGTGAACAAACACGACCATGAATGGGTGTCCATTTCAAAGGAGTAAATCACAGTAAGTTTTACTTCAAGCTCAAGCATATGAGATTGCAATTTATAAATCTTGAAAAAGGTTTTAAGTCTTTTTTTCAGTAATTTTACATTTTTGAAACTTGGAAGTTGAGGGAAAGCGGAACATGGAAATAAATAGTCATCAACTCATTGGATTCAATTTGTTTGTTATAATGTTCTTTTTCAAATGAAAGGGCAAGAGTTGACCAGTTGTAACTGTCACAAGCCTTTGTGAATGCCACATGACAGGCGTCATAGTTCAAATATAAAACAAAGAATTCCAGATAGTGGAAATCTGGTGGAGAAATTCAACAGTTTTGACAGCATCTGTGAAGAGAAGACAGAATTAATGTTTTGGGGCCATTTTCAGACCTGCGGTGTTGCTCCAGCAATTTCTATCTTTATATCACAGTTCAAATGTAGCTCATTATGTGGAGTTCTTTAAGACAGCTTTTGTAACAATACATAACAGACCTGCAAACACTTATAATTCCATGTTGCCACTATACAGTTTTTAAAGTGCCATAAAACAAGGAATTCAACAAAACAATCTAAAGTTATTATATTGTACTAAACATTGCAAGCAAGTTATGAGAATATATGACAATAATCGGCCAAGAAACTCAAGTATAAGAAATGCATCAGAATTTCTGGCAGGTACACATACCGCATTTGTTAGATCCACTTTTACACATCAACAAGTTTTAAAGCAGACCATCATTAGCTGGACTAAAAGGCTGACATAAATTCAGTAGATTGTGTTTGATTTCCACAAGTGTTTGCATTGGTCAATTATAGGTACCTGAGATCATTTTTAATCATTTGGTCTATCCTTTTGCCAATGCTCTTGATGCCTTGCCTGCTGGTCTCTTTTGTCTTTCATTGCACACAGGGTCATTCATGGAGTGATACCTCTTGATAACTTGACTTTCCTGGTCAATCAAAAACTTACTGAAATTCCACTTAATGACATTTCCCAAGAGTCCTTTCCGTTTTGACTGCATTTCATCCATTTCCACAAAGGTTGGGCCTGATCTTCGTTGACATCGATTTTGCTGGGCATTACATTTCATTACATTGTACGTAGTTGCAAATTCTTTAATTTGTTTCTCATCTTCAGGTTCCTGTCTACCAAACTGGTTGCAAGGGAAAGCCAATCTGTAAACCTTTCTCAGCATATTTGGTTTCCAGTGCAGCAAGCTGAATATTATTTACGCAGTCTTTCCTCATTTGGAGGCCACTTTTATGATAATGCAGAGAATTCCCTTGTATTCTTCCAGAGACACTTCTGTGCCATCTATGTCCTTGATACTAAACCCGTTAACAGATGTCACCTTACTCTAGGCTTCTGGTTGCACACTCATCGCTGCTGCCCTTGCCTGCTCCTTGATGCTAAATCCACCAGAAACACGCTTTATATGCAATGCTGTTATATTATGCCTTCTTAAAATTTGATAAGAGATTGAAGGTTTGTTAAATATTTCATCATTATTAAGCTGTCCTACAGGTATCAAGAGATTGAATTGACTGGGGGGAGCATTATTGAGACGTATAGAATTATGAGGAGCATAGATTGGGTAGACAGGAAGGATCTTTTCCGCTTGTTGGAAGGTTTAATCGTAAGGGGCAGGAGGTCTAGAGGGGATTTGTGGAAAAACCTTTTCACCTAGAGGGTGGTAAGAATCTGAAACTTGCCAGTAAGAGTGCTGGTGTCAGAAACCCACCTAACGTTTAAGTATTTAGATGTCATTTTTGATGCCAAGGCATAAGAGGCTATGAGTGAAGTGCTAGAAAATGGGATTAGAATAATTCGATGCTTCTTTTTGACCAACACAGACTTCGATGGGGCAAAACATCTTGTTTTGTGCTACAGACATCTATGATTCTATATATCTTCCAGTAAGATGGCAGCAGAGTAGGACTTCTAAGCCCCCTCTGCTCCACTTGATTTTCTTCCTTCTCCTCTCTTTTCCTGTGTTTATTTTTTTAAATCTTATCTTCTTTAACTCTTGTTGAAGAGGTTGATCGTGGCGACCGCATTGACGGTGGCAAGTAGACCCAGCGTGGACTTGTGGCAGTTGGCATCCATGCAAGATGGTGGCGGAGTAGACTTGTCCGCTCCATCTGCTCCTCTTCTTCCTTTTCTCTTTTATAGCATTTATCTTTTCCTTTTTTTTGGTTTTACTGTTTTTCGTAGTTTGTTTTCTACAAACTTACCTTCTGGAGAGCGGTAGCGTTAGCGGCAGTATCAGGCTCATTGAAGTTGGTGGTCAGCCAGATGTCAGTGGCTGGCGCTCTGACCTGGACTCTCGGTGAGTTCTTGATGTCCGGCATGTGAACCAAAGGTGAGGCTGAGGCCCAGCACGAATGGTGCCTGGATTGGGGCTTTGGCGGTCTGAGATCCAATGTGGCGATAGAGGTTCCCCCTACATCTTCAGCGACAACGAGAGCATGGTGATTGAGCCAGCATGTGGAAAGTGTGCCAAAGTGGAGGAAATTGAGTCCTTGTAGGAAGTGTGGTCCCAGCATTGCTAAGTACTTAAGAAAGAGCACAATGGTTGAACTTTTAACTTTATTTCTTTATTTTTTGACTTAATACTAAGAAGGACTGTAAAGATTAACTCTTAACTTTGACATACTAAGTATGATTATGATGAGATAGTAGGAACTGCAGATGCTGGAGAATCTGAGATAACAAGGTGTAGAGCTGGATGAACACAGCAGGCCAAGCAGCATCAGAGGAGCAGGAAAGCTGATGTTTCGGGTCTGGACCCTTCTTCAGAAAT